ATTGTCACACTAAAATTTCACTCCCAGAGAGAAATTGAAGCCATTTTGTGTATATGCGATGTATATATAAACATGTTTTCTTTTTTTTTTTTGAGTTGGAGTTTCACTCTGTAAGCATGTTTTCACACTATGCCTGAAAACCCAACCCTTTTCACCTTAACCCCATGCCAATCCTATGTAAGATGTTATATAATCTGTGTGCCTCTTACCATCAAAAGGGGTTCTTTCCTGTCCAGCTGTCACTCTTAGACCACCTTTCCTGTACATAAGTTCTTGAATAAAACCCAAACCTCATCCGTTGCCTCCTGGCCATTTTGCCTCTTGGATACAGTGACTTCCTTTTAGGGGTCTTTAGGATTTCAACACTACAACCCTACTGAGAAAGCCAACAGAGGTTGCTCAGTTATTTGCAGGCACTGACTTGCAAAAGGGCTGCCTATTGCTTGAGCCCTGTGAGCAGAATAACTAGGTAGGAATTTATTAGGATTTATTTATTTAACTATTGTAAATGATTATCCAGAATAGCAAAGAGGGAGGTCAGCTAGTTCTAAAAAAGAAAGACGCTAGATTATGTAGCAATAACATACATTAAGTGCACTGCATGTAAATTAATGTTTAATATACCTTATTAAAAGCTACAATATTTGTTACATGTTTAATAGAGCACAATCTATAAAATTCAATATAACACAAGCACGTGAAGTTGGTTAGCAGAGACCATTGCCACAAGTGAGCTCTTAAAGCTGTGTTGATACTAAACTCCATAAAATATTTTAAGATGGTTTATTCTGAATCAAACTTGAGGACCTAGGCCCAGGAACACCCATTCTAAGATAGTCCTGAGAACGTGTGCCCCCCATGGTCAAATGGTAGCTGGGTTTTATATATATATATATATATATATATATATATATATATATATATATATATTTTAGAAAAGCAGAAGTTACAAGAAACCATAACTCAATACATGAGAGATCTTCACTGGTTTTTTCTATGAAGGAAGGGCATTTCCAAGTGGGGGTTTTCAAGTTATAAGTGGATTCAAAGATTTCTTGACTTGTAATTTGTAGTTCTTATCTAAGGAATTTTAGAAATCAGTAGAGATGCTCTGTTGAGACAAGAGGGCAGAAAACGACAGGTTTGTTGATATGTAAATCAAGTTCTACATGTGGCGCACTTCAGAGAGGATACAAGTGTCTCAAAAAGTTCCAGGAGTCTGAGCATGCCCAAGAGAGGCTTTGCAGGGCCATAAAATACTTTGACTTCCTTCTGTATTTGTTATGTGATATTATGCACAGTCAGGTTGGAAAACAACCAGTAGTATATAGGGTAATAAAACCCTGTCCGGTGAGTCCTTATTAGACAGTGACCCCCAAGACTCTTAGGAATTTGAATTAAAAAAACAAAGGTCAAGTTTAGTTCTCAGCTGCCACAAATTAGACATGTCCAAATATCTTTATCCTTATGACTGCCAAAACTGCTCCTCTTTCTAATTTCTCACCTTGCAAATGTCACCTCTTCAGGTTGAAATGTGGGAAAACAGAGAGATTGTGACACCAAGGCTATCTTAGGAAGTAGCAGTTTATTAGCACTGGTGCAACTCAGTGGGCTAATGCTCCAAGGCTGAGCAACCCAGAGAAAGAGGAGAGGGGTTTTAACTGTTAGTTTAGGTAAGGGAGGGGGTCGGGTTGTATGGCTATACATTTTTCTTTGGAATTTGCAAAGTGGTATCTAGCAAAACAAAATTTTCAAAGAACAAATTGTCTCCAGGTTATACATGACAAGCAGGGGTTGTAAACTGATAACTTCACAAAGAGAGGGTGGAGGGGGGTAAGGTTGTGAATCAATTACTATCTTGCATTTCCAAGAAAGCAGCCTGTGACCATTTGGATTTCTGATGCCCCATGTCTAGCAGGTTTGGAGCTTGCAGGTTGATTTTTAAAACGGAATAATTTTAACTGTTTTCAGCCCCTCTCTACCACACTCCCACCTCCCCGCCCTGCGCAGGGCAACCCCAGGCACACGTGGGCCCGGCACCCCCTGTCCGTGCTCCCACCCAGCTGCCCCACATCACCGTTTCCTGCCCAACAACATACCAAGGGAGGCCTCGGCCAGAGTGCCAGCAGAACTTCCTCCTGGTTGGGACTGGGCTGCAGTGTGAGAGGCAATCCTGGTGTCTTGGCTTCCTGTTCCCCTGGGCTGGGCCTGCTCCAGGAGCAGAGACGCCACCCCACTCCCACCTCTGGGATCTGGACCACACCTGGCTGTCTCCAGGTGGGAGGGCGGCAGGGCTGGGGTGGTGGGGTGTGGGGACAGGAGCCTCCCTGCCAGCTTCTGGCTGGGTTGCCCTACCACGGCCCCTATCCTGTAGGGGGGGGTGCCATCCAGTCTGCCCCAGGGTAAGCTCGAAGCAACCTCCTGAAGGCCCGGGGCCCTCTGCCTTGGGGCTTCTCCCTGGGAGGCATCTGAGTGGCCTGAGCCATGCAACCCACTCCCAGGTGTCATATCCACCCAGTGATGTGCCAGTCTGCTTCAGGCCATTTACTGGGGATGAGGGTCCCCTCCCCGAGGGCTGAGCTGGATGAAGCCACACTCTCCTTCAGCTCCCTTGCCTCGGTGTTCCAATCCTCACAAGGCCTGCCACACCTCCCCCCTGCCAGTGAGTCCACATCGTGCCGGGCCTGGTGGCATCTTGGGGTCTCCAGAACAGGGATGCGGCAGAACTGAGCACTGGAGTCTGTGGTGCCCCAAAGCTTCAAAAACAATGGCTGGAATCAACCCTCTACTCAGTCATCCAGCAAGCCCACCAGGGTGGCAGCAGCTGGTGGGGTCACATCCCTCGACAGGGTTCACTGGGGGTGCCGCCCAGCTCTGCCCCTTGCTGGCCTTTCATTCTGGGCTCTCTCCAGTTCTGTTGGTTCATCTTCTGTAGACATGGGATAGTGGTGTCCACTCTCAGGGTTGCTGGGAAGGTTAACTGAGATGCACTGAGCATGTGCATGGAGCACACTCATCACTGTCAGGACCACTCTCACCATGAGCTGAATTCTGGGTTGGGCTAGGGTGGCCAAGCCTCCCAACCTCCTCCCAGCAGACAGGAGAAGGGGTGGCATCCTCATCCTCGAAGGTGCTCTGCTGAGGAGAGGGGTGAGGCCACCTGCCATAGCCCACTACTCCCCCACCTCCTACCCCCCTCAAACTCAGTTCTCTGGCCCACACCTACTGCCCTGGAGGGAGGTGAGGCCCTGGGGGAGCTGCGGCTCACGGTGGTGGGGGGTGCCCCCCATATAGGCTGCAAGGGGTCGAGTACGGGACTGCAGCCCTGCCTGTGTGTTTCTGTCGCATTTTCCAGTCCCAATTTCCCTGAGAATTCATGTTTCCTTCTGCCGTTCCTACAACGGATGGTGGCAGACCTCCCTGGGAGGGCCCCTGGGCTTCTCCCCACAGCCAGGCAGACTGTTTTGAGCCCTATAAACCAGGGGCCCTGCCCAGATGGCCCACCCTTCTGAGTCCCTCCTCTCCTTTATTTCTCTAGTGAAATCTCTCCCATGTTCTGGAGGCTTCACAGCAGTGCCCATGGTCTATACACTGACATTTGAGGGCCAGGAAAGAAGCCACATGTGGTGGGATCAGCTTCAGGGGTTAAATGTGGGCATCTGTGTAAATCTCCCCAAGGAAATCCGACCCCACAAGGATCCTGAGTGCTTGCGCGCCCTCTCCTCCCTGCCCACCTGGCACGCAAGCCCCTGGCCTGCCTGCAAGTGCTTGCCATGATCCCCAGCCCTCCCCATGCCAGGGTCTAACAGGAGAGGGGCCCTACCAGATGACAGCAGGTGGCCTTCCTGCAAGCAGTGACAGTGGAAGATGAGATACCAGACTGGTGGTTAGAAAGAGCGGGTCTTTTTTTTTAAGTGACAAAGTAGGATTTATTGAGGACAGAAAAGCTTCCACAGTGGGAGGGGACCCAAAGGGGTTGCCCAAGAGCAGGTCTTTACTGCAGATCACAGAATTACACAGCAGTCTCTCAGATACATGGCACACATGTCCTGGGGCCACTCCTGAGGAGTTTATTGCATAAAATATTTTAAAACAGTGTGGGCACGGCCCAGACTCCCGTCGGCAACTTCTCTGGAGAGGCAGAGGGCTGGCTCTGGGGCTTATCATGGCAAGGAGGTCACTCACGCAGGCCTCACCCCTGCCACCTCCGGGGGCACCTCCAGGAATGTTCCCCCAGGCCCAGATCCACCCCAGGTGGGGCTCCTGTGTCCTCAGGAGTTCAGGCAATGGCGGCTCTGGCCAGGTGTGCCGGGGGCTCAGGTGCCTGCATCACACACAGGTTCCCATCCTCCATGCCAGAGCACAGTGCCTCCCCTGCCTGCCACCCCCTTGGCTCACTACACCACCCACTCCAGACTGGGTTGATGACTCAGCAGCCTATCACCCTGAAGGGGCGGGCAGGCTCACTTGACAGTGACAGGCAGGTCACTGGGGGCCTCCAACCCCATGCCACACAGGTGCTAGGGCTGACAGTTCTGCAGGTCCGGGCATGGGGGAGCCTCAGCTCCGCCCCCAGACCCTAAGGCTCTGAATCCGTTTGGAAATAATCCTAGGCCCAGCCCATCCCAAGACCCCTCCAAAGGGCAATCTGCTCTCAGGAGACTTCTCTGTCCTGCAGCGGCCCTTTGGGGAAGGTGGCTTCACGAGACTGGCTGGCAGCACCCACACACCCCACATGCCAGAGCCAGCCGCGCTCCACAGCACAGCTCAAGGCAGGCCGTCATGGTGCACAGGCCAGTCATTGGTCTGTGGTCAGTCTGTAGGCGGTGTGACCCTGGGAGCCGCAGAGGTGGCCTGGAACACATGCACTTGCCCAACTTGCAGAGGTGAGGGGGAACAGGGCACATAGGATGACGACCTTCCGTGAGCCTGGGAAGGTGCAAAGTGCTGACAGTGCTGCTTCCAGTGACGTCTGTGGGACTGAGTCCCAGGCAAGAGAAGGGGCTCTGATGCCAGGAAGGGGGTGGGTGCTCAGGTGAGGGCACGGGGCAGGGACAAGAGGGATGGGAAAAAATGCAGGCATCACCAGGACAGGTCCTGCTCTGCTGTCAGGCAGTTCGGTACAAGGCAGTTCAGGCCACAGAAGGCACTGGGTGGGCCAACAGCCCCATGCCCACAGTGGCCAGCCCACCTGTCTGCTACTGCCTCCAGCCAGGCCCAAGGGACTCCTTGCATCGGCTGGGGGTGAAAGCCTGGCTTCCTGGGGTGATTCGTGTAGGGTCAATAAAAAAATATTTTCTGTTGAAATAGGAGGGGGAAAAATCCACTTTAAAAAACTAGACTTTTAATCAGGAACGTGGAACTGAAAATGCTCCCCAAGTCCATTTCCACAGTGTTGAGCAGCCCTAGTGGGGGTGCCAGGCAGGGTACCAGGACCACTCCAGGAGGAGGCAAGGGAGGCCGGTGGAGGCCCATCCATCCCCAACAGGACAGGTGGTGACGGCCCTGCCTCAGTCAGCCAGGGTGGTGGGGAGACCATGGCAGCATCTGGGCCTCTTTGGGACCGTGCTCTGGTCACATCTGAGGTTCTTCCCAACAAGGGACATGGCTGTGACACTGTGAGCAGGGTGGCCCGGGCTGACGGCAAAGCCAGCTGATGGGGATGCGCCATGCTCACCCCCACCTCAGGTCAGGAGATGGGCCTAGCCAAGGATGCTCTGCTCCTGGTACTTGCGCCGGCGGGCACAGCGGGGACAGCCCTTTCTCACCACGGCCTGGCAGCTCCGGTGGAAGACAGTCTTGCACTCAGCACACCTGGGGGAGAATGGCCAACTGTGGTGCTGGTGGGGTGGAGGCTGCCCTGGGCCAGGCTAGACAGTGCTTGTGCCGAGCACCCCGTGTGGCTGTGGCTCAGACCAGCCTCACACGGTGCTTATCCAACATCATGGCACATGCAGGCACTCTCTCCCTGCTCACTCGGAAGGGCTGCTTGAGCCTCACTAAGTGCTTTCTGGCCTGGGTGCTTCTGCAGTGGCTGCAGAAGCAGGGCAGTGAGCGCCAGCACCAGACCCACTCAGGCAGCACCTCCAGTCCCTCCTCAGCCCAAGCGCAGCTGTGAGCAAGGCTGGGCTCCTGGGAGGGCTCGGCTCATCCCCCGGGCTGGCCTGGAGCCAGCCACAACGGCCCAGGGCAGTGCAAGGTTCAAGATGCTCCTGCCCAGAGTGGCCAGCCAGTGGCGGCAGCGAGCAGGAAGGAGCAAGGCCGCATACCTGACGGTGGTGTCGAACTCAAACGGGAAGATGATGTCGTGGTGGCGGCAGATCTGGCAGATGAAGCCGCGCTGGGTGCAGAGGTCGCAGTGGTACACATGCTGGGAGGCGAAGGCGATCAGGGCCTGGAGGAATGCCTCATACACACCCTCTGCGATCTGGGGGACGCACAGCAGCCTTGAGGCACTGGCCCAGGGCATGCTCCCATTTTCTCCTGAGCGGGACAAGGCCTTGCCCGGACCAGGCGATGCAGCATCCACACTGAGGGACTGACAGACAGACCCACACTCCCGGCCCTCCCAGGGAAGATGCTGGGGCTTGTTGGTTCCAAGGGTAGGCCCGGCCTGGGAGGGCTCTCCCAGGCCCCTCCACCACCTCCTGGGGCCCTCTGGAGGGGCAGGGGGCACGACTCTCACCTGCTGCAGGTCAGCCACGCTGAACTTGTGGGGTGACTCCAGCAGGTAATTCCTGTGGTTGAGCCTTCAGGAAATACAAGGCCGTTAGCGGCTTCCAAGCCTGGCCAGCCTGTGGTGCTGTTTTGCCTTCTCAGTGGTGCTCACCTGGTGCACACACCTCCCTCCCGGAGCCGCCTGGACTCAGACCTGGCCATCAAGGTCACTGACTGCTGGGGGGCATTGGGCAAGTCCCCTAACCTCTCTGAGCCTTGGGTTTCCTCCTGAGAAGCGTAAATGTCTCAAAGGTCTCGGCCTGGTGCCAAGCACACAGTAAACACCTAATTAATGGTCATGAAGGCTGACGACACTATGAGCAACACTACAAATGGGGCACGTGTTTTGCACATATTCGTGTATTCTACCCTCAATAACCCTGGGAGCATCATAATCCCTATTTTGAGAAGAGGAGGAAACAGAGACACCAAACAGCTCACCCAAGGTCACACAGCTAGAGGTGACAGCTGGAGCCCAGCACAGGAGTCTGGTTCTGGTCCCCGTGAATAGCTGGCGGCCATTATAATTACCACCACCATGAATGTCCAGGAAAAGTGCTGGGACAGAAATACACGTGGCCTCTGTCCTGCTACAGCCCTGGTGTGGCTAAGGGACATTTAGGTGTTTGTCTTTGTGCTACATGAGAGCAGCCAGGCTGTGTCCCAGCACAGTATATCTAACTGGGGGGCAGAGCAGAGGGCTGGGGCACAGCCACACTCCCAGCTCTGGCTTCTACTGTGTCGTGGCAGGGACCTGTGGTCACATCCTGTGGGACAGGGAGGAAACACCTGCAGAAAACCCCTGCAACAGCCCCGCCTGGCCCCATGGTGTGTGTGGGTACTGGGGGGCAGGGGGACACTTGGTCAGAGGATGCCCGGACATCTGGGGCAGGATGGCATCGGGCCCTGGGGCTCAGGGGCAGGCTGTGGGGCCCCTGAAAGGGGGCTCAGTCACTTCCTGACTGGTGGCCTTAGCTATGGTCGGGGGGCCAGTCTGGGTGGAGATGGGGAGCCAGGCAGGCCATGTGGCACCCATGGGGTGGGGACACTGCCAGTGGGCCCCAGTGGACCATGCTGGGCTCCCCAGGGAATGTCCTGCTCTCTGGCAACAGGAAGCTGCCATTTATCACCAGGAAAACATGGGGTGAGGGGCTGGGGGTGTGGTTGGCCGCCAACTGGTGGGGAGGAGGGCTATGTGAACAGAGCTGACTCTGCTGCCTGCCCAGTGCAGTTGGGGAGGCCACCCTGCCTGGAGTCCCTGCACATTGGGCTCACTGCTCTTGGCGAGGCCTGTGCAGTTTCTCCACCAGTCAAGGCCAGGAGAGGGCGCAGGCAGGGGGAGTGGTCACTTCCGCTCCGGGCCACCAGGAAAGAAAAAGCCACACACACTAGGGCACAGACCTGCTCTGGGCCTCAGTTTCCCCACCCCACACCTGTCCCCTGCATGAGGCTGCCCACCTGGGGAAGGCACTGAGGACCCTGCAGGACTCGGGAGGTGGTAGGAGCAGATGTGGCATCTCTGCTGCTATGTCCAGTGAAGGGGTGAGACGGGACCCAGCAAGGACAGGGAGGCCTGTGGACTCGGGCAGAGGCCTGGGTGCTGCCCATCTCCCAGGCCCCACCCTCTCCTCTGCCCACCCTCCCTGGCTGTTGGGAGGAGACCTGAGGTCCGGTGGGGGCAACCCTGGGGGCGCTTCTGTCATGGCTCCCTCCAGAGGTCTGAGAGGGCACGCTTGGACTTCTCTGCCCTGAAGACGTGTTCCAGGCCTGCCGGGGAGTCTCTTTCTCTGAGGGCCCGACCAGGCAGCTGCACTGGCAGGGGAGGGTGCCTCCCGCCTTCCCCCACATCTCAGACCTGCAGCTCCGGCTTTCCTCTGGCCGGCTCCAGGGTTTGGGCCCCAACTTCTGCCTCTCAGGGCTCCGTCTCCACTGCCTACATCCCAGCTGCCCGTGTGCCCTTTTCTAAACCGACGGTCAGATGGGACAGTCCATGCTTAAAACGCCCAGGGCTCCTAGGGGCAGATGAAGTCCTAGGGCTCATCTATGGGTGCAGCCCTATGACGCCAGCCCTCTGACGCCAGGTGTCTGGAGTGTCCCCCCACCCACCCGGGACTCCTGGCCAAGGGACCCAGGCCCTCCCGCCCTCTCTCCCTTTCCTAAACCTAGGTCAGTGCACAGTGCATGGTGCCACTGGCATTGCGGCAGCACAAGTAGGCGAGGTGAGGTAGGGCAGGCGTGGTGAGCTGGCAGGGGATGGGAACCATGCGCTGCACCCCTCTGAAGACTGACTGTCTCTGTAAAGAACAAAGGAAAAGCAGCCCACAGCCCCTTGGCTCAGAAGACGTCTCCGCCAGGCGCCCCAGCCCCTGTGCAGCTGGGTCAGTACCCTCCCGGGCACATGTCATGCCCACCCAGGCCTTGCAGGCAGCCTGTACCTCCACCCGGAGGCTGCAGGGGCACAGGACCACCGGCTCACGCCAGGGAAGGGAAGGCTGATGCTGAGGAGCCCGGTGGCTTTCTGACTCGCTGGGCAGGGCTGCTACCTGCCTCCTTCCCCAGCTCTGCACTGCTTCCGAACGAGTCCTCTGCAAGGGCTGGGTGCACACCAGGCACACAGGACCACTGCCCAAGGATGACCCACAGGGCCAGGAGAAGAGGCAGGACTGCCTGCACCCCGCCACACAGGCTGGCTCAGATGGGGCCATAAAGCCCCTGACCAAACCATGGCAGCAGGGCATGGCAGGTGAGGGGCCGGTCCGGAACTCTCCCTGCAGGCACTGGTCTACACTGGGATATAGGTCTCTGCAGGAGCCCAGCCCCTGGACCAGGGAGGATTAGAGGCACTGTAGCTCCAGTCAGGTTCTCCCTGCTCGGCTCATGCCTGGTGCCTTTGTGGCCGGCACCTGCTGCTCCTTCTGTCCGGAATGCTCTTCTGCTCTTTCTTCCCCTTCCTGGTTCTTACTCCTTTCTCAGACCTCACCTTAGAAGTCATTTCCTCCAGGAAGCCTGCCCTGCTTCGCCCTGCTCTAGTCTGGGTTGGATGGCTCACCCTTGTCCCCCGGGTGTTCCACCCCTCCCTCATCCCCAGGTGGAGGTACCAGATGACCCACCTGCCCTCCCTGCCAGGCCAGTGGCTTCAGAGGGCAGGGCAACTCTGCCTTGCTCAGTGTGTAACCAACACTCCTGCTCAGCTCCTGGCACTTGGTATGTTCTCAACACACGTTTTTGAGTGAACAAATGAATACCCGAATATCCCCCCACATCACCCCCAAAGGGGGAAGTAGTTTCCCAAGTCTGACAGGTGTTTCTCCCAAGTAGATACCTTACCTGAGCACTGGCCCTGTGCACGTGTGGGTGTGTGGGTGTGCAGGTTCAGGTGCTGGATACACAGATGCGTGGATGGGAACATGGGTAGGTGTTCAGGTGTGTGGCTGCGCAGGTAGGTGGGTGGGGGTATAGGAGCATGTGAATGGTGTGTGGGTACAGGCGCATGGGTGTGGACACAGGTGCGTGGGTGTGCAGGGATGTGTGGGCACAAGCAAGCATGTGGGCAGGTGTGTGAGTACAGGTTTGCGTGTGGGTGGGTGTGCAGGTGCAGGTGAGTGTGGGTGGATGTGGACACAGGTGCATGGGCACGCAGATGCGCGGGCACAGGGGCCTCACCTCTTGCTCAGCTCCTTCAGGGCGCCGCTGCGGCACAGGCCCAGGTAGTCCCCCAGAAGCTTCAGCTGCTCGCGGCTCCTCCCAACCAGGCGCATGTGCTCCACATGCTCATACAGAGACGCGTTCACCAGCTGCAAGTTGATGAGGGGCTGGGTGCGGATCTGTGTGAGGAACCTCAGGGCCTGCCGGCAGACCTGAACCACCAGGCGAGGTGGGAGGGATGGCTGCTAAGTGGGTGCTAGGCTGCGAGCAAGCCCACCCATGCCCCCAAGTGCCAACCTAAGCCTGAGGTTCAGAGAGAGGGTGCGGCTTAGCCGAGGCCACACAGCTCATCTGCGGTGAGGTCCAGCTCTGAGCCCACCTCCTGTGAGGGCACCGGTGCTGCCCCTCCCCAAGCAGGCCAAGGTGGGGGCCCTCTGGCCAACATCCTCCCTGGACCTCAGCCCCCTCCCACTCCTTCCTGGTCTCCCGGCCCCCATTTTCCTGCCTAAAGGCAAAGGTGCTCCAGGTGGCTGAGCTCAGTCACAGGAAGCTGCAGTCCACACTCAGCTTGACCAGTTTCCTGCTCCCTCCCCTCACACCAGCGACCAGGGTGGAAAGGTTCCACCCTCCGCCCTGACCCTGACACCAGTGCCAGTCACCAACACCTGCTCCTTGCCAAACACTGGGTGGGGGACCAAGACCACATATCCCCTCATCCCCACTCCAGAAATGAGGAAACCGAGGCTCAGAGGAGCAACCGGCCCTTAGAAAGCAGGGTCCAGGCCTGAGCCAAGGGGCTGTCCTGAACACCAGGCTGCCACATCAGCTCATGGGAAAGCCCTCCCCATGCTGTCCTCACTGCATAACAAGCACAAGGGGCTGGTCTGCTCTCCACAGCTGTAGGGTCAGAGTGGGACTGAATGCTGCCCCCACTGTTTCCCACCTGTGTGACCTGGGGAAACTTAGCCTCCTGTGACTTGGTTTCCTCATCTGTAAAACAAGGACAAGGAGAGCACCTAGGCCCACAGGTTTGAGGCCTTACTGTTCACCGTGGCTGCCCTGTCTGGCCCACTGTGCCAAGTACAGCCCCTGGATGGATGTCAGCCAAGACTGGGTGTTGTTCCCATGGGGCCACTTCAAGTTTAGATGGTGGCAGTCCTTCTGCCCTCCCGGTCCAGGGCCTGGCATGTGCCATGTCCTCAGTCAGTGTGAGTTGCTGTCAGCTGCTTTGAGTGCCTGGAGTGGCCCCAGTCCCCTGGGACCTGCCCATGTGTGGGGCTAGGACTATGGCCTCCACAGCAATGGACTAGCTCCTTCTCTTCCTTCTCTGCCCTGAGTTACCAGGCCCCCCCACCAGGGCAGCCCAGGGGCAAACTCCCCGGTGACAGGTCAAATTGCCACTCAGTCTGAGCCCAGCTCCTCCCCAACTCTGACCTGGCCCCTGGGTGAGGCTCAGATGACAGAACATGCAGGAATGTGTACCCAACACTGCCAAGGATACAGACAGGCAGGGTCTTGTGCTCTCCAGGGCCTGCTGTCATCCTGAGGACAGCGACAAGATGGACAGAGAGTAGCCCCAGGAATGGGCTGACGTCCTGCTGAGGGCCGGCCAGGCACGAGCCGGCCAGCCAGAGTGACCGCAGCAAATAAGGCCCCGGGTGCCAGCCACTTTGCTGTGAATGCTCTTGTCTTTCCTGGCCCGTCCAGAGGTCTCTGAGGGAGGGCTGGGGGGTCCTGGTCTCAGATATGCCTAGTATTGTCACTTCTAGTTAGAAGCAGAAATGACATGAGAGTTTCAGCCAGAGGAAGGGGACATTGCCACCACAGAGCCGGGCCCTGCAACAGTGAGTGCATGTGAGATCAAAGGGCTCCTGGCGTTTCTGAGGTTTCATTTTCTGTATGTAGTTAGTTAAGTATTTGACACTGAGGGCAGGGGTGTGGACAAGGCAAACAACAAGAAAGCCAATATGAGGCCAACCTCTTTGGGGTTCCTCTCCCCAGGGAGGTGAGGCTGGTGAAACTCAGAGTCACCTTCCTACACTCCGATGAGGGCACAGCCACATGAGATGCTCTCCCTGGCTCTCGGGAGGAGCAGCTGGCTTCTTCCTCGTGTTTGTGTGTCTGGGTCTCAGTAGAAAGCCACGTTTGAGCCTCTTGGGCAGACCCTGACCAACAGAATGAAGGGAGGTGTGGTGGCCCCAAGGAAGGAAGGGCACTGTTCCAAATGGCTAGCATGCATCACCACACCTGTCCCGCCAGCAGCCCGACACAGACTCTGCTGCCAACCCCCTCCTCAGATGAGGAAGCTGAAGCTCATTTGCCCCTGGCCACCCAGCTGGAAAGTGGCCAAGCTCAGCTGGAGAGGAGGAGAGTGGGAGAGGTCAGAGGACATAGTGTTCACCCCGGGGTGTCATATCAAGAGGACACAGCAGGTCATCAGGCAGCATGGGTCCAGTCTGAGCACAAATTACAAAAAGTAGATGCATATGTCAGTAAACGCCCAGAAAAGGGCATACCCTGAAATGTCAACAATACTGTGATTTGTCTTTGGGTTTTTCTGTCATTTAAAAATGTTTAACAACAAACATGTATTATGTTAATAAAGCAGGGAGCCCCAGAAAAGTGTACTTTCAAAACCATGAGGTAAGGCCATGCAGGGCCTGAAGGGGGTGTGGCCACTCTGGCCTCACAGGACTGGTGAGAGCGAAGCTGACCCCTTGGAGGACACAGCAAATCAGCTCGTCCACCCACACCTATCCACCCAACCATCTATGCATCCAGTCCATCTTCTTCCTTCCTTCCCATCCGTCATCTCAACGTATCATATCGAATCTAAAGATGGTGTCAGTAGTCTGTGTATCCATCTCCCTATCTATCTAAAGAAAGTCAGTCCACCTATCTATCTCACTGCCTAGCCATCTCTATCTAAAGACAGAGTCGGTTCATCTGTCTGTCTTTCTCTCTCTCATGTCTGGTTGCTGGTGCTGTCTGTTGCTGTTGGACTCCCCTGAGATGGGGCAGCCAATGACAGAACCGCCCAGGGTGGTGGACAGGCCACAGCCTTCTTCTGGTTTGCTCCCTGATGTCAGTGCCTGAGCCAGTGACCCAGCTTCCCTAGGGCCAGACTCCTCACACAGAGAACAGCAGCAGTGAGGAAGCTTGAGCTCCCTAGCACCCGGTAGCCCTGTGTGGCTGTGAGGGGCAGCAGGGGCTTACCGGGCGCTTGGCGAGGTCCCAGTTGTGGATGATCCGGGCCGGAATCACCGAGGCATCGTCTTGGTGACAGATGTCACAGTAATAGAGGCCAGAGAAGGCACAGAGCTTGGGTCGTACAAAGGAGAAGCCAATCTGCCGGGAGCAGCCTGGGGAGATGAGTGGCAGGTGAGCGCGGGGCCGGGGTCAGCCCTAGCCATGCAGAGCCACTATGGCACAAAGATCCACTAGTTCATTTTGTTGAAAGGAAAGTACCAAGGTAAAACTGTATTTCATATTTCCCCCACTCAGAACCAGCCCTACTAATTAATCTTTACAACAACACACTGTAAGAACTGTCACAATTTCACAGCTCAGAGAGGTTAAGAAGCCTGCCAGAGGCCAGGTGCAGTTGCTCACATCTGTCATCCCAGTACTTTGGGAGGCCGAGATGAGAGGACTGCCTGAGTCCACAGGTTCGATACCAGCCTGGGCAACTTGGCGAGACCTTGTCTCTACAATAAATCAAAAAATTGGCTGGGCATGGTGGCGTGAGCCTGTAGTTCCAACTACTTGGAAGACTGAGGCCATGAGCATGCCACTGCACTCCAGCATGGATGACAGAGTGAGACTCTGACTCAAAAAAAGGAAGCCTGCCAGTCACACTGCAATTAAACAGCATGGGTGGTATTCAAGCCTGGGTGTGGCTGGCTACAGTGCCTGCATTCTGCCCTATGACACTGGCTGCCTACTCAGTGTCCCCACTTCCGCCCCCGCAGTGCCAGCCTCCTCTATGTCATCCCTCACCAGGGCCCGAAAATGGAGCCACCTAAGTCAGGGCCTAGGAAAGCAGCGAAGAGCTGCAGGATGCGGCCAGAAACAGGGCTCAGGCAGGTGGGAAGCTGACAGGAGCAAGGTAGTCTGTGCATCGCCTGTGCCCTGAGGACAGTGGGGCAGGGCCCTCTGTACAGGCCATGGCAGTGGGCGTGGGGTGTGCCCGGGCAAAAGGTCAAAGCCCAACTCAGATCCTGAACACAAACGCTGCTCCCCCAGGGGAGGCAGAAGGGTCCCCAGGGCTCAGGACCAGCTCATCACTGCCTCACCCTGACCTTCACCTAGTTTGTTCAAGGCTGCATTTCAGCGTCTATAAAATTCAGCTCCTAGTGCTGTTTCCTGGGGTTACTACAAAGGGTAAATGAGACAGGTTCCAGAAGTGTCCTGCCAACTGTGAAACACCAGATGTCAATGGGGTGTTTGCCTGGCCTGGGTCATGTACCAGGGGGTGAGGAGGCCCAAGCTCCTCAGTGTCATGGCCACTGGCAGGCTGGCGGGTGGCAATGTTCGCACCCACAGGCAGAGAACCCTCCCCACAAACCCTGGAGCCCCCTCTGGCCTGGTCTCCACAGGCTGATGAGCCAAGTGTGAGCAATGGGTATGGCCAGGGGGAGCTGGCCTGGACAATGTCTGCAGAAGCTCTGCCCTGCCTGGCGTCTCCTGGTCTCAGGGGCCGACCACAGGCCACTTCCTTCCAGACGCCCGAAGGAGGCTTCTCCATGCACCCCAACATGACGACTCTTTCACCATGGCTCAGCCTTTCGCTCTGGCCTTCTGCAGCAGCAGCCACGTCACAGGCCGCCAAGGGCCATGGGGGAGAGATGCCATCTGCCCCTGCATGGCAGGAAAGAGCTAACCACAGAACGTAGGTGGGAACATCATGCAGCCTTGAACAGTATGGTGGGGAGTCCGGCCAACAAGGACCTGATTCTGCCTCTGCCACTTGCTAGCTGTGTGACCTTGAGACAAGGTACTTGCCAGCTCTGCACCTCCGTTTTCTCATCTAGGAGTAGAAATAATAGCAGCACCTATCTCTATAGGATTGTGGTAAGGATTAAATTAGGCAACCCAAACAGCAACCGGCACACAAGTGCTAGATGTGATGATGGGGATGACACAGATGAGCAGATCTGGAATTGCATCACAATGCAGAAAAAGCCGAGCTGTGGAACAATGGTGGCCACAAGTCACATCTGCCTTGCCCATTTACATACACGGAAATGGAAAATTCGGCTCCTCAGCCATGCTGGCCACATTTCAAGCACCCCATCGCCACATGTGGCTCACAATCATGGCATCAGATAGCACAGCTCTGTGGCATTTCTCATCACAGAAAGTCCTATTGGGCAGCAGCGAATAGCAAGAGCTCATTTTTGTAACTTAAAAAATGGTGTCCTCTTGCAAAAGTATGCATAACTATTTGAAGGGACACCATGCCCCTGCTCCAAAGGAATATGATAGTATAGTAGTAAGATGATGAAGGCCAGTGATGGTGGCTCATGCCTGTCATCTCAGCACTTTGGGATGCTGAGGCGGGAGAATCACTTGAGGCCAGGAGTTTAATTTTTGTAGAGACAAGGTCTCTACAAAAATTAAAAAATTAGCAGGGCATGGTGGCACACGCCTACAGTTCCAGTTACTCAGGACGCGGAGGCAGGAGGATCATCTGAGCCCAGGTTGAGGCTGTGGGGAGCAGTGATTGGGACACTGAACTCCAGTCTGGGTGACAGAGTAAGACACTAACTCAAAGAAAAAAAAAAAGATGAAGTGGGTGTGATTCCCCAAGACAAAGCAGTAAGTAGCAGAGCCACCTCTAGGCCCCACTCCCCAGCAGGAGGTGGCAGGAGAGGGAAGGTAAGCAGGGCACTGGCCCCAGGGGCTGTGGAGGAGGTGCAGAGGCATAGCCACATAGGCAAGCCTCATCCATTGCCTACTGGGGAGAGGTGGAGGGACCCGGGAGGCAGAGAGGGGATGGCAGGCTGGAGGCGGGGCGGGGTGCAACAGCACCTGCGCAGAAGCAGCCCTGGGCATCCAGGCCCTTCTCTGTGGGGATGGCCACCAGGTATTGCAGCAGGAAGCCATTCTCCCGTGTGGCAGCCTTCAGCACCTCCTGACAGTTTTCGTCCAGACTCCCGCTGAGCGTCACCGCCTCCTCCGCTGTCTCCAGGTAGGACGCCAGGACCTTGCGGACCAGGTCTCGCCACAGCGCGGCCTCCTCGGCGTTCCCAGCCTGCAGCTTCAGGATGGCCTTGGCCGTGATGATCTTGAAGAAGGCTGGGCCCCCAAGGCTGGTGTCTGGCAGGATGTCCCGGATGGTCTCCACGCCATGGCTGTCACTCAGCAACTTCTCATTGTTCCTCACACGGAAGCACTTCAGGCACTCCAGGGACAGGGAGAAAATGTAGGGCACCCAGGTCCTGTCCGTATACAAGTACAGCAGTGACTCCTTGATGGCGTCTGGCTCGGAAACCTGCGCGGACAACCAGTCTAATGGTGTGCCCAGGGGGGCTGCTGGCTCCGAGAGTGGGTCACCCTGGGGCTCCTTGGGGGCATCCTCGGGCTGCTCAGGGTACTGGACATTCACCCAGTCATCCTCCTGCTGGGGCCGGACCTTCTGCAAGGCCTCCCGCACACGCTCCAGCCAGTCCTCGGCTTCGTCCCGTGAAGAGGCTCGCAGGGCCAGCCTCCGGCCGGAGAAGACCAACTCAAAGCGTCCATCGCTGTGAGCCGGCCCTACGGCCTCACAGCGCAGCAGGGAGCAGCTTTCCATGCAGGTGCGCTCCCCATGGCCTGGGTAAAGGCGGAGCTCCAGCGGGGACAGCTCGCAGAAGAGCTCCCTCCAGATGCCCATGGCGCCCCGCCGCTCCACCGCGCCTAGTTTCAGGAGCCCCCGGAATGGGTTGGACAGCCCTGTGGGAGAAAGAGGCACTTTAGACTCCAGCTCACCCTGGTCCTGCCCAAGGCACCCCCTGGGGCCGTGTCCTGCAAAAGGATGCAGGCCAGCCACAGGTGCTGCCTAATGGGGTCCCAAAAGCCCCCTGCTGCTGACTGGTTTCCTGTATTTCCCTGACGACCCAGACACTCCCTAAGAAGATAAAAGTGCTCAGAAGACCACCTCACGAGCCACTCCCCGCCTACCCCCTCTGTTGTGGGGTGAACTGCTTGTGCTCCCGCGAGGCCAACTCCCCCCATTTCTGCAGGAGTTCCTCCCCCACACCTATACAAGGACAAGGATATCCCCCAGTGCCTGCCCTCGCCCCTGTACTGTCCCCTCTCCCTTCTCTGCTCTTCCCACCCACACTCAAGGCTGCCGGCCCCCATCTTAATGTCTCCAGTTACAGCCTCAGCCCTTCCAGAAACCGCTGGAGGAGCCATCCAAGCCGACTCTGGCTTCCCTGCTCCCCCTCCTCCTGAGCCCGCTCTGGGGGCTTCTGTTCCCCTCATTGCACTGACACTGCTCCCGGCATGACTGCCAGTGCCCTCCTGCTGCCGCATTCGAAGGCCACACCTCAATGCTTACCCTCTGTGCTGGTGGCTTCCTGCTCCCCGGGCTCAACCTGAGTACCAGGGGCGCAGGCCGGGCCTGTCTCCTCGCCTGCTCCCCGGGGCTCTGTGCCCAGCTCTCATCTCCAGCCTGGACCTCACCCTTGAACTTCAGATTCATATATCCACCTGCTCTGTGAGTGTTTAAAGACATGCCCAAAACAAGGCCCCAGTGCTCCCCCTGCAGGCCTGTCTCTTCCCGAGTGTCCTCATCTCACAAAACAGCAAAGCACACCCTACCAGCTGCTAGAGCTGAGGACCTCAGAGCCACCAGGAACGTTCTTCCACAAGCCCTTGGCACCACCTTCCCCACTTGTTCTCACCTTCCTGGTCTGCCTCCCAGGTTGGCCACCGCCACTCTGGCCTGGTGGCCTCCTAAGAGGTCTTTTTCCCCTTGTAGTCCTTCAATGTAGGGACCACAGTGACCTGCTTAAAGGCAAGCCAGAGCGTGTCCCTCCCCCACAGTCCTCAGAGGCCAAGGGGCTGCCCCACCAATGACCCTTCATGCATGCGCCTGCCCTACCTTCTCTCCAGCTGCTCTGGGCTCTGCTGCTCCCAGATGTGCCAAACAGGTTCGGGCACAGGGTCTGTGCACTTGATCTCCCTGCTTGAAATGGATCACCTCAGGCCACCCCCACTCCTCAAGCATCACCTTTGGGAGGGCATCCCCAGCCCCTGCATGAGACTGTGCACCTTCCACTGGAACCCCTGGTCTGCTGCCCTCCATGGTGCTCACCACCACCATGCGCTGCTGACTCAGTGATGTTCTCACTCCTGTCTCCCCCCCAAAGCATACACCCCACAAAGAGAGGATGCTGCTTTGCATCCTGCTGTGTCCGCAGCACCTGGAACAGTGCCTGGCACATCACAGACACTCCACAAACATTGGCTGAGTGTCCATGCCACAGGCTGACCAGTACACTCTACTCTTGGGGTCTGCCGCCAGTCAGGGGGTCCAAAGTCACTCAGTCCTCTCTCCCAGCCTGGACTAGCCTTGAGGTTTCAAACTGCTGTACAGGGGCCTCTGCCCTCAGGGAGCCTGAGGCCTAGACACACAGCCCGCCTCCACTGGCACGGCCAGAGTCCAGCCACCACAGGGCTGACAGCAGCCTGCAGACCCAGCTCCACCCGTGCTGCCCAAGCCAGGGCCTGCCAGCTGCTGAGTTCCCTGCCGAGTCACTGCAAATGGAAATGAGGAGGGAAGGGGACTGGCTCCAGGACAAACTGTGTTTATCTGTTTTGAATAGGAAACCAATTAACAGGGTTACGGAAAATTAAGGCTGCGATTATTTCAGGTTTTCTGGAATTTCACAGGTATGGAGATCGAGCTGGCCTCCCTGGACAGCACTGGGAGACAACCAAACAACAGCCCATGCAGGTATCACATAAACATCTGGGATAAAGGATGTTGGAAGGACCAGGAACACCCTCAGGCTCCAAGGGCAGGGCTTCCTGTGAACTACAGTCAAGAGTCTTCCATAGTCATAAGTTTTATAGAGAAGTTCCAGGAAAAATATTTCCAGGCTCAAGAAGCAAGACAGTATTGTTGTGCTCCAGAGGCACTTTTGAGTATGACTTTATCAGAAAATAAAAGTACTTTTCTTGGAATGTTACCTTCAATGACTAAACACAAGTGCTCCTGGGATTACTTTCTGGGATGAAGTTTTCCCGTGAGAACATACCTCCCATTGGGTAGGGCCTGGGACGTGACAGCTAGGTGAAAGGCACACTCCCTGCAGACCTGCCCAGCAAGGACCCTGAGGGTCACTTCCCCATCTCCCTGTACTGTACCAGCCAGAAGTTTTTATGCACTGGGGACCCCAAGGCTTACCTGTCTCCCTAGGCTGTATCACCTGGAAGTTCTTATGTGCCCAGGGACCTGAGAGTCACTTTCCCATCTAGCTGGAAGTTCTTATTCAACCAGGGCTCTAAGGGGTACCTACCCATCTGCCTGCGATGCACCACCCGGAAGTTCTTATGCTCCTGCATGGGGGCTGCCTCGGTGTTCTTGCTTCCCGGGGAAGGCACACAGGCTTTGTCTAAGGCCCCCAGGGAGTAGCTTTTCCTTGGTCCTTGAGAAAAATGCCTGTGAAGACCAGGTCTTGACTCTCGAGTCCCTTGGGAAGGTGCCACTGAGTCATCTTTGGCACTCTCTGGAGCCCTCTCTTGGGGAGGCCGGTAGAAGTCATCTTCAGAGATCCAGCTCTTGCTTTTCTGATGAGAAAGAAGTAAAGATAGAGCCTGTGACTCTCATGCTATGAAACTGAGCCACTGAAAGTTCACAGTTCAGTCATTTTGGTATATTCAGAGTTGGGCAACCATCACCACAATCTAAGTGGAGAACATTTTCATCACCCTGAAAAGAAACCCCAAACCCATCAGCATTACCCCATGTCCCCCGACTACCCCAGCGTGAAGCAACCACAAACCCACTTTCTGCCCCTCTCGATTTGCCTGTCCTGCCTGTCCTGACATCTCATCCGAAGGAAGCACACAACGTGACCTCTCGCGCCTGGCTCCCCCACTTCCGCGAAGGGCCTCAGGCTCATTCCTTCTGTGGCGTATACGGGTACTTCATTCCTTGTTAGCACCGAGTACCAGACGTGCCTTGTTTGGTTTATCCGCTCATCGGCTGATGGACGTTTGGGTGGTTTCCACTTGTTGGCTATTGGGAATGACGCTGCCATGAACAGGTGTCTGAGAATTCTCGCGGGGACTTGGTTTCATTTTCCTGGGCATGTCCCTAGGAGTGGAATTGCTGGGTCATGAGTAACTCTACATTTTACTTCTTGAGAAACTGCCAGGCTGTTTTCCACAGTGGCTGCACCATTTTACATTCTCCCCAGCAATGTATGAGGGTTGCGATTTCTCCACACACTCCCTACAGTTTATTACTATTTGTCTTCTTGATTACAGCCATCCTGATGGCTGTGAAGTGCTATCTCATGTGGCTTTGCTTTCTATTTGCCTAATGACTTTTCATGTGTATATTGGTCATTTATACATCTTTTTTGGAGAAAAATTTATTCAAATCTTTGCCCATTTAAAAACTGGGTTCTTTCTGCTATTGAGCTGTGTTGCGGGTTGAATTGTGGTCCCTGAATAGACATGTTGAAATCCTCATCCCTGTACCTTACTGGAAATACAGTCTTTGCGGATACAATTACTTAAGATGAGGGCACAGGAATAGAGTGATCCCTTCACCCAGTATGACTGATACCCTTAAGAGGAGAGGAGATGCACAGAGGAAAATCCCAGTGAAAGCTAATTAAGGGGGAGGATGCTCTCCCAGACACAAAAGTTTTTTCTTTCAATGAGGGCCAATTTGCCTGCTTTCTTTGGTCATGCTTCTGGCATTGCAGTTGAGAAACCACTGCCTAAGCCAGTGCCACCAAGACTTACTCCTGTGCCTTCTGCTGAGCTTGGCAGTTTAGCTGTCGTGTATGTCTCTGACCCATTTTGAGTTAATTTGTGTAAGGTGTCAGGAAGGGTGCAACCATGTTCCCGTGCATGTGGATATCCAGGTGCCCCTGCACGCAGGTTTTGAGATAAGAAAGGCCTGGTGAGCAGGCCTCAGGGTCCTCCCGGGTCGCTGCTGCCTGTGCCCTCCACACCGTGCAGGCCCTGCAACCCCAGGCAGCTGGACCCTGTTCCTTCCCTTCTGCTCTGAGTCTGAGTGGCTCACTGGCTGGGGGAAGTGGGGTCTGGGGCCTGGTCTTGTGGGAATGAATTCTAGTTCCTTTTCTCAGGATTTCAAGCCCCTCCCCCTGCCTTTCTGTGTCTCAGCAGGGAAGAGCAAAGGCAAGGAAGCTGGCTGGGCCTCCTAAGTGGCTGTCCACACAGAGGAAATGAGTCACAAAAGGGATGAGACCAGTCTTGTTGGTTAGTTACGTGCCACCAACCTCACCCAGACATTGCTATTTTCAGACACCAGATCAAGAAGGTGCTCCTTAGCTGGGCTCGGTGGCTCAGCCTATAATCCCACACCTTTGGGAGGCTGAGGTGAGTGGATTGCCTGAGCCCGTGGGTTCGAGACCCGCCTGGGCAGCGAGACCTCATCTCTACAATAAATCAAAAACTCAGCCGGGTATGGTAGTGCGTGCCTGTAATTCCGGCTACGCGGAAGGCAGAGGCGGAAGGATCGCCGGAGCCCAGCAGGTCGAGGCTGCGGTGGCCAGGAGCGGCCACTGCACTCCAGTCTGGGCGACAGAGTGAGACTCTGACTCAAAAAAAGAAAAAGAAGGTGCTCCTTACTATGTAGACAGAGGAGTTGGCCTCGGGCTGCCTAGAAGGGCTGGACAGGTGAATTCACTGAGATGCTACTAGATGTCTTAAGCCAAGGGAGGCGGGTTCTGACTCAGGCACTTGGGGCCACACAGAACTGAGCCCTTGGAACTGGCAGGAGCTTCCTTCTGCTGCTGATGGGACATGTGTCAGTCAGGGAGGCCACAGGAACGTCTATAACACCGACTCCAAACGAAGTCTGCCCAGGCCATCAAGACCCTGAAGACACAGGCAGACATGTGCTGTCCTGGCCAACTCACATACACCTGGGGAGTCCTGTGTCTCCTGCCCTCACCCACGGCCCTCACGGGGGACTTGCATCCCTCAAGACCTCAAGACTAGGAGGCGCCTGCCACCTCGTCCCGGAAGCTTCTCTCACCCTCCCCAGTTGGGTCAGGGAGCCCCATGGGAAACCCATGAGAGTCTGTGCTTACCCCATCCTAGCCCTACTAGGCTGTTTGGAACTGTTATTTTTCTTGGTATCTCCAGCAAAAGTGCTGCACAGAGTCATAAAAGGTGAGAAACAAAGTCCTGACGATGCCAACATCTTTACATAAAATGACAAAGGTCGCTGAGGGAAGGAAGGAAACATGTGAATTTCAGGATTATGGATGTCCACCAGGCAAGCTTCTGTCTCCACTAGGAAATGTTCAGATAGTCTGTGGTCCATAGGTCAGCTGCCAGGAGGTGACGCTCTAGGGAAAACTTCCCGCTCTCTTAAGCAGCTGGGAAACAGTGGGCTCACGGGTCCTCGGAGCTTCTGCCCTCGTCTGGCAGGGCCCTAAGACAGTGACCCTCCTGGGGATGGGGAGGAGAGAGCCTAAGAAGGAACCCAGAACCTACCCTCCTTCCCACCCTTCTCCTCCCCTTTACCCTCCTCCTCATCGCCCTCCTCTTCACCGCCCTCCTCCCTACCACCCTCCTCCCCTCCACCCTCCTCCCCATCGCCCTCCTCTCCACCTCCCTCCTGCAGCATTCAGGGCCTGCATCTGGCCAGCTCCCTGTCCCTCTAACAGTGGGTGGGGGATCAGTACTACTGAGGAGCTATACCAGAGCAGCACCTGCCACCCAGAACCCAGGACAGAGGAATGCCACCTGGAGCTGCTGAAGACACTGTGACATCCCAGAGAGGCGTCTGGCTGAGAAATCAGGTCTCTGGGCTGCTCTTGGGGGGACAGGATCTTTTGTCCAATCTGTCTGTATGATGCTAGGCAAGGGCCTGCCTGTACCCATAACTGAGGGCAGGGGCCAAAGGCCTCGGGCAGACAGCCCATGGCACAATGATGAGGACTGAGTTGCACAACTCAGATGGCCCTCTGAAAGTCAATGTACAGCCTGACCCCAGACACACAGACCCTCAAGAGCCCCTGTCTGCACCCATCCTTCCTGGCACTCAGCACGAGGGTCATTATGACGTGCATAATCACACATCTCTCTGTGTCTGACCCCACAGGGTGGGCCCTTGTCTGTCCTGCTCCTTCGTGCTTGGCTCACAGTAGGTGCTTTGTGTCCAGTGAATTTTAAACATTTTTTAAAAGACTGGATGGCTCTCAGCACCATAAAACTTAACAGTGACCACAACATCCCCCCTCACAGTGTCAAATGAAAAGCCCCTGCTAGGTGACAGGAGACAGGAAGATGGGGACTCTGGGGCAGATAGACAGGCCAGCCCCATGTTGTCCAGGGCAAGGAGCCAGCAGGCAGCAGCGGTACCCGAGGACTGTCTACCCACACCTCCCCTGTGAGATCAACACAGGGAGAGGAACACTGATCTTGGCACCAGATGCTTTGAGTCCACGATCCCCAAGCAACCTCCAGCATCCAGACTTCCCTGGGGCGGTAGGGAGGTGGGGCCTGCCCTGGTCAGACTGAGCAGACCACCCATCCACTTGATGGTGGACAGACAGGCTGGCAGCTCAACAGTCTCCTGAGAGCTCAGGAACTACTCAGAACAATCCTCTCTCCTAGGTCATGCCTGGGTGGATGAGGTGGGCATGGAAGCAAGCAGGCCCTTCCCATCACAAAGCAAGTGAGGAAGATGGAAAACAAACCAATCAGTAAAGAGAGACACCAACTGCAGCTGCACTCAGAGAGTGTTACAGCCAAGCAGACACATGGGACAGGGCACGTTCTAGATGCCAGGTCAGGTCAGGGAGGGCTGAGACAAGAGGCAGAAGGAGGGGACCCCAAGCGTTGGCCCCAGGTTGGAGAGAGTGTGCTCTGAGGAGCTGCAAGGAAGGGCCTTGCTGCCAGCAGGCTGTCCTGTGCCCCATCCCCCACCCCACTCCCCA